CTCTCTCGCCTCTCACTGCCTCTCCTCGGCTCTAGCTCGCCTCTCCCCGCCTCTCCCCGGCTCTCTCTCGCCTCTCCCTGCCTCTCCCCGGCTCTCTCTCGCCTCTCCCTGCCTCTCCCCGGCTCTCTCTCGCCTCTCACTGCCTCTCCCCGGCTCTCGCCCGCCCGGAGCTCCCTTGCTCTGAGCCAGACCCATCGTCAGCCTGTTCTTATATTAAATAAACTACGTTTACTACACAGCATGTGTACAATGATTTTTGTTACTCAGAACGTTACTACTCATACAAATAATATTACTAATAACAATAATGACAATAAAACAGCAGCAGCAGATACATGACTTCTCTCCATGACAGAGACAGACCCTCTGCTGCTGCTGCTCCTCGTCTCCTGATTGGTTGAAGCCTGCGTCAAAGCTTCAAAAGCTCAGCTTTGCTCAGCTTCGGCGTCAGAGGGATTGTTTTGATACGCGAGCGTTTCGCGCGTCAAAAGCTTCAAGTGAGCGCGTATTACGCGCGACCTTTGAAGCTTTTGACGCGCGTCAAGTGACGCCGGGCCCCTCGGCTTCACCTGACGCGCTTCACCATTCACTTTCAATGCAAACCTGACGCTTTTGACGCCGAAGTTAAGTCCGGTGTGAACGCCCCTTTAGATGAAAATGATCTCAGAACGACAATATTATCGCTTATTGCAATAATTTCTAAGACAATTTGTCATCGTGACAGGCCTATTTGTAATGTGATTTGATCCTCTTGCAGAATAATTAGGCCCGAGCCCCAACTGGGGTAAGGGCCTATTGCTTTTCCAACGAGTAAGTCACAGAGATTGTGACCTGCACGCGACGGCACGTGCCCAAGCACTGATAAATCCGTGCCGGAGGCACGGAATGGCTTTGCTCCTGCTGTAGTACACAGTGAAATTATGTAAGTCCTATTAAAAGGGGGTTCCTTCAACTGTCTTACGGACGAATGTCCGGGCTGTAGTGTTACAGCCCGGACAGAATGGGGAGAATGAGGTTTACCTTTTCAAAGACACACACAATCACTGATCATAGGAATTCAATATGGACAGTGTCGCTCCCATCAGGGCAGTGGGAAAATGGCGCGTCAGCGCCACCTTCTTTGCGCGGTGCGGCGAGGGCCGTTAGATGCCGCTTGCGGTTTTAATTTGACTTACTACCGCATTCAGAACATCCAAAAACTTGAGTAAAGTGCATTTGGTCAATACCTGAAAACGGTCGATTTAGAGAAAGTGAAAATGATTATTGACTCTGCCCACTATGGTTCTTTGGGTTCTTTGTGGCAGCGTCAAACAATGAGATCTTTGCAAGGAGAGTACATGTGAACTAAAATGATTCAGAGGTGGTTTAGCGGTTGCAGTAATGTGTTTTGTCTCCTGTTGACAGATGCAGATGTGGTTGGCAACTGTGTGGTTTTTGAGTGATTTCACACTCATCAAATAGACAGAGTACAAACAGATTAAAGTCATACAATGTGTGAGGTCCAACTTCCCATTCCCTGTTTGTTTCAACGAACACATAATTCCTTTATAAACTGCTCACAAAAACTTAGGGAACACTCAAAAAACACATCCTAGATGTCAATCAATTCAATTTTTTGGATGAAAATATTTATTCATAGTGTGTTGAGAACAAAATAACATAAGAATGATAAATGGAAATCAAATTCTCAGCCCCTGGAGGTCTGAATCCAAAATTATAGTCAAAATCAAAGTGACAAATGAGGTAACTGGTTGATCCAAATTCTGTAGAAATTCTTCAAAATGAGTCTTTATCATCGGCAGTAGTGTGTGTGTCCTCCACCTGCCTGAATGCACTCCCTACAACGCCTGGGCATGCTCCTGGATTAGAGCATCAGTCAGCTCCCGGATAGTCTGTGGTGCGACGTGGAATTGATGGATGGACCGAGACATGATGTTCCAGATGTGCTCTATTGGATTCAAGTCAGGGGAACGGGCAGGCCAGTCCAAAACATCAATACAGGAGCTGCTGACCCACTCTTGTCACATGTGGCCTGGCATTATCATGCATCAGAAGGAACCCAAGGCCCACCGCACAGCATATGGTCTTACAATAGGTCTGAGCATCTCATCCCGGTACCCAATGCCAGTCAGGGAACCTCTGGCTAGCCCATGGAGGGCTGTGCGGCCCTCCAATGAAATGCTTCCCCAGACCATCACTGACCCAACACCAAACCGGTCATGCTGGATGATGTTGCAAGCAGCAGAACGTTCTTCAGGGCCTCCAGACTCTGTCACGTCTGTCACATGTGCTCAGGGTGAACCTGAACTCATCCGTTAAGAGCACAGGGCACCATTGGACAATCTGCCAATCGCTGTGTTCTCGGGCAAAAGCCAATGGGGCTGCACGGTGTTGGGCAGTAAGCACCGGCCCAACTTGTGGACGTCGGGCCCTCATACCACCCTCTTGGAGTCGGTTTCTGACCGTTTGAGTACCAACATGCACATTTGTGGCCGTCTGGAGGTCATTTTGTAGGGCTCGGGCAGTGCTTCTGTTGTTTCTTTGTGCACAAATGAGCAGATAGCGGTCCTGCTGCTGGGTTGTTGACCTCGGTTGGCCCCCCCCCAGGTCTCCTGATGTACTGGCCTGTCTCCTGGTATCTCCTCCGTGCTCTGGACACTGCGCTGGGAGACACAGCAAACCTTCTTGCCACAGCACGAATGGACATGCCATTTAGGATGAGCATCATTCCCTGAGCAACTTCTGTGGGTTGTAGATGCCTCCTCATGATCCCTCTAGTGGTGAGAACACTGGACAAATGCAAATGTGTTCCAAAAATATGGTACAAAGGATTAAGACAGGGAAATGGTATTGGCAAAACCATTCCTCTTTTGGAGTGATCTTGCTAATTGCCTCTCATTTCCACCTGTTGTCTGTTTAATTTTCACAACATCAGATGAAATTTGAAAGTGCGGCTTCCTAACTGGAAAGTCTGATATCCCAGATATTTGACTGACTTGGAGTTACATTACATTACAATACAATACAATACAATTTATTCTTGTATAGCCCTAGGTCACAACAGAAGTCATCTCAGAGGACTTAACAAAACCATTGATATCACCAACACAGGTCAGAGAATCAACAGTTAAAACACATGAAGAATATAAAGCACACACAGAAGAAAATGTCCATACATGTTGTAGAATGCTAAAGTGTCCTGATCCTCACCAATCCTTTCTGTTGGACACTAACTGTCCAACAAGACCCTCCTGCATCGACAAGGAAAAACTCTTAAAAAACCCAGTAGGAAAAAGTGAGAAACCATGGGGAGAACTAGGGAAACCCACAGGGAGGGAGACCCATTTGAGAAAGGGATCCGCTCCTCCGGACGGACAGGCTAATGATCTAGGACCTAAGCTAGCTACAGGACGTGGACCAGTGGCCGCTGAACGTGGACAGGTCCGGTGCAGGACTGAAGTACTCCCAGGCGGGTCGGGCAGGGCAGTCCACAGGTGTAGATGGAGGAGGCCAGGTCCAGAGGTCCCGTCATCATACCATGAAACAGACAATGGGACAACGAGTGAATAGCAATGAACAAACTACAGTCAAAATCCTAATAATGCTAAACAGATAAAGTAGGAAGGAGGAGAGGATAGTGCTCAAGTTACCATACTTCTCCCAGCAAACTGACTCCCTGTGCAGCTTGACAGTCTGAGGAGTTTAGCCTTCCCTGAGTCTTACCTTCCTAGCCATATGCTAGGACACACATTGTGTTTTTTGAGAGTGCCCTAAGTTTTTGTGAGCAGTGTATAAAAACCTTAACAAATATCCATATTCATGTTATAATTATGCACACATAACTTCAGCTTATATATTGCTGGGGATACATTTTAAGGTCCCTGCTGGATATTGGTAACTTAGGCAGAATATGACCCTGTTCCACTCATTGAAAGTTTGAAAATTTTGTTTTGTTCTTGGTTGGTTTTGGTGTGTATGTTTGTTTTTGTGTATCCCCCCTTTCAAGCTATATTCACGCGCTCACGACACCAGTTCCTGTATTGTTCTTTTGTCCAGAGGGCTAATTGGTCAGGCAAGATTGTAGTTCTCCTGTTTTCATCGTTTGTAGCTAAAGATTTATTTTCCGTAACTGTTTTGGTTTGTTTTGGCTGCAGCTCTGCTCTATCGTACAGCTCTCTTCGCTCTGCCCCTCTCCTCTGCGCCGAGAGCCTTTAGACTATTTAAATCTCTTGCCTATACAGTATAGCTCAAAGAAACATTGCACTGTTATGGTCACTATCTAAAAAATGTATTTGAGTGCAGGCCATTTTTTGACACCAGTCCGTCAAAGCTTCTATGGTTACCTTCATAGTAGAGAATCGGCTTTTTGTTTACGTCACCAAATGTTGGTTTGACTGGAATGTACCAATGTGTAATAGCATTAAGCTCTAACAGACAAGTGAGAGGGACTTCACAAGGACAAAACTACAATATACGAAGAGGCAAGCCAACCTGTGTGCGAATTAAGGTCTTTGATCAATGAAAACATCTGTAATTGAATTATGTGATGTTGTGCAATGCAGCTTTATGTATATGCTATGTTTTGAATTGGTGCTGAGTTCACCAGATGGAACTTGTTTGTGTATTGGGAGGTTTTTAAAAACATGCTTTTAATAGCTATTAGTGTAATCCTGGCTTTCCTGCTATTGTCCAGGGGCAGTAGGTCAGTCAAACAGGCCATTTCTGTGAAGACTGCCTGTGGAAAATATGCTATGAGCGTATGTAGTCAACTTTTTTGAGATTTATATTATACTTTGAGGTCAATGCAACAAAAAAAGAAAAAAAATGCAAAACAGAAATACAAAAAACCCCAATAACAAACAAACCAAAACTACAATTAAAATGGTATTAAAAGTAAAACGTAATGTTATACATAGTCCTTTTGGCTCTCTAAGTAAAACAGTTTGGACACTTCTGCTTTATATACTGTAGACTGAACTCTTCTACCTCTCTATCCCCAGGAGCCTTCATCATCTGCTGGACCCCCGGCCTGGTCATCCTCCTCCTGGATGTCTTCTGCGCCAACTGTAACGTGCTGACCTTCGAGAAGTTCTTCCTGCTGCTCGCCGAATTCAACTCCGCCATGAACCCCATCATCTACTCGTACCGCGACAAGGAGATGAGCGCCACCTTCAGGCAGATCTTGTGCTGCCAACGCCAAGAAAACGTCAACGGGACAGTGGCGGAGGGCTCGGACCGATCGGCGTCCTCCATTAACCACACGGTCCTGAGCGGAGGAGCACATCACCACCACAACAACGAACACTCTGTGGTATAAAGAAGCTTACTGAAACAGACTGGGAACATATTATGAACTAAATGTCCGGAGTAATGAAGAAAACATACCAATGAAGACTAAACAACGCTACTTGGATGTGAGATTTTAAGGACTCCAATAGGCTGTTAGTATTTTGTGTCGTTCGTGTCACTGAACTATTTAAGAGTTATCTGTGAAGTAAAAGGTAATGCCAGTATTGTAACTTCTTATATTGTGTGTATATCATTCAGGTTGACGCTCGATAGTAAAACAAAAACAAAAAAACATATACACATCATGTAAGGAAAACTATAAGAAGCTTGGAATTTACCAGTGGATCATCTGAGTAAAGTGGATAAACTAGAGATAAGGGTTGTCAAATACTTTTTTAAGTGGCACAGATGTTTAATTTATGTTTTTTTATACATGTTAAAAACTGAAACCCAATGGTAATACTCATGCCACAGTAATCGAGCGAGTATTCACGTTGTGGTTCTGTGCTAAGCTTGTCCAAAACATGTACAATGTGAGTTATTCAAGTTTGTGCTAAAGCTTAAGTATATACTCAAAATGTGCTACTATTCAAAGCTGAGGTACCTGACTTTTTTGGGTTTCTCGTAAATAACATGTCCTTTGTCCCAAAAGAAAACAACATGCCGACATACTCACTTCTTAGAAAACATGTTATCTTGTAATGATAATAATGATAATAACACATTTAATTTAAAGGCGCCTTTCTGGGCAGTAACGGTCGTCTTACAAAAGATACAAAGTTAAAAGCAAAAACAGATACAAAATGAACAATGGAATTTAAGGTCACAGTGAATTGTAAGCCCTGTGAGTTGCTATTTGACCCTTTAGGCAGGGAGCTGATTGGCTGAGTAAGAGTAATCCTCTCTTTTTTGGCCAAAAATACATACAGAATATGCAAAGTAGTGATAAACTGTTTTAGAGCCAAGAACTAGTGACATGAATTATTGGTATTAAAGTTACGTGCCTCAGCTTTAACAAACACAACACATACAATTGCTAAACAGTATTGTCATATATTATCAAATTGAAAAGAAAAAAAACATGCAGAAGTTGATGTTTAACTTACATTATGCTTTATGAGAGTTGTTATAACAATAGGCAGAAGGCTTGCACTATGGGATTGGCTCGCTTAAGCCTGTTAGTTAGTCAATGGTGCTGCTTCATTTACAACTCATGAGAAACCATCTGTACACATCTATGCGACATTAACCAGGCTAACGTAATTTAGCTTCTGAAGTGAGTAATATTCCTAGAAGGGATGATGGATACGAGTCACCACTTTGCAAAACCGTGCTTTCCAATGTCATATGTGCTGTATCAACTGGCCTTACTCATCGCAAGGTTAAGTCATCCTTGTATTCTTAGAGCAACTTTCTATTCTTCATCTGTCATCGGTTCAAATTAAATACAAGGCAAATCTGGCATTGTTTATTCGCCCCGGAGAAATTAGAGACAGGCTGTCGCAGAGCTGTGCAAGACGCGGAGGAGGATGTTTGTAGCTTTTATAAAAAACGCGAGGTCTTGTGCCACAGTGTCATGGCACGATAAGGTTAGGGTCATATCTGGTGAATGTTAGCGGCCTCAAGATACCGACATGGAGCTTGTGTCCTCACTCGCAGTGGGTGAAAGGGCAGTGTGTTGAGAAAGAGCAGAGAAATGTGTGAGAAGAAAAAGTTTATGTAATAAAGCCTCCTGGTGACTAGAATGTGGTTGTGTAAACAGAAAGCACTATACGCCTTGGCTTTCTGTGGGGACTTTGTAGATTTGTTGCATCATGGGTGAGTGATATTAAAGAAGCCTGGCCTGGATTGTCCCTTTCTAAAGCAATAAAAGCAATAAGTAAACCGGATCATTTTGAACGTACAATTTTTTACTTTCCTCACCCTTTAACAGACATTTTTAACAGGTCCATGACTACACCCATTCGCAACGTGATCATTTCCATAGTTACAGAGGGGAAAACGAACTATCTCGATACTACAACTATTACTACTATTATAGTCCATACATCAGGGGTCTCCAACCTGTGACTCGGGAGCTACCAGTAACTCGCCAGCCCCTTTCAGGTAGCTCGCCAAAGGATTTAGAATTCAACATAGGATCTTTAATGAATACATTTGGAGTCATTACATATCTATTATAAGTAAAAAATATTGGCTTATACAGTAATAACAGTATATTTTACATGTGGTCGCTATTGTTGCTATTATTACTTATTATGACTGCAAAAAGGAGTAGCTCTCTGCCTCTCCTGTTGTATAAAAGTAGCTCTCCGATTGGAAAAGGTTGGAGACCCCTGCCATACATGATTGAATGGCAGTTGGAGAAAGGGCATGTGTTTGGCTAAAAGAGAAATAGTTGTTATCAAGAACATTATTTACCTCTCCGTGTATATTATGCATTATCGTTTGCATACTATTTGACTCTCTGGACCAAACAAAAGATCCTTAACAAAAACAAAAGATCCTTAACAAAAAACGCTTTGAGTGTAAAGTTAGATGTATTACGCAGTATTGTTGTTGTCTGAAAGTTAAGTCCCTCTGCTTTAATGTTAGTTCTTAAGAAACTATTTGATACTTTATTAAGTCCGCCTCCAAGTGAGTCCCAGAGAAACTGTTAAAACTGTTGCATGAGCTGCCATCTTGATTTCAGACGGTACGGAATTGTGCGAGTGGCTTGGAAAATAATTGCTGATCATACTCATAGGCACACTTAAAAGCAGTAAAGGCGCAGCACTTTTGAACCATGCGTGAAAAAGGGTCATCATTATCAGACAGTGTGACAGTGACATCTATGGTTCTCATCTAATACATATCCCTGGTCCTTTCATTTGCTATACACATTATAATCCAAATATACCATATCCTACAATCATCATTTGTTGCCTTTTGAGCGAGAAAATTCACGACAGGGTCCAAGATCAACACATCTGACTGATTACTTTCCGCATACACCCAGCCAGCAATACTGCGACTATATGAGGGCAGTGAACAGGTTTGATCTGGTTCATGTAACGACACAATGCAGACTCTACATAGTGAATGTTACCCAGACATTCCTATTTCAGAAGGTCAAAATGGCTTCCAACATTTCAATATTGTGGTCAATTTGTGGTAAAATCAATCAATGTTTTTGTTTCAAATTGGTTTCACTTTGCCCATTCTGTTTGACTTATTGAACTATAATGCTAACACTATATTCCATCAATATTAATATTAATATTATGTTTTCTGAGCGCCAATGTAAAACTTCTGGTTCATTATTGGTTAGAAAATCATTGCGATGTAACGTACACTGATACAAAAATTCCAGTTGAGTGTCCAGTCTTGAATCTAGTCTTGGCTTGAATAAAAACACATGTAGACAAAAGACATGAATACTTTTCCCAAAGGCTGACGGAGCAGTGCAGAGCAGGAACAGGGTACAGTGTTAGTAGAGGGCTTTCTGAGAAGCAAAAATCTCTGCTGCGTGTCCAAAAGACAGTTTTTTGGATTGGCCCCATATGTCCTCATCCTTGACAGGCAACATAACTTTTTTGATCTTGAGAAAACTTGTGAAGTTGTCTTTTTTTTAAATGGAGAGAAATTGGACAACTACAAATATGAATGGTATCGATACACGTTTGACTTTGTAAATATATGAAACAGTCATACGGCATTCTATACGATTTGATGTCAATAGTAAATAGCAAAGTGACTGTATGTGTCATTATGTCATGCTGTTGAGGAAATCAGTGGATGACAATTATTATATTTATTTTTGCCGTTTGGGCTCATAATGGTGCACAACACAACGTTTTACCCCCTGGCAAAATTCAAATTTCTACAACAATTCTACAAAAAGATGACCCTCAGGATGCAATGTTTTTTTCAAAGTATGTACAATTCATACCATAAATACAGTAGATATGTATTTGCCAACAATAAATCATTTGAGGATGAGCCATAGCTACAACCCAGGACATGACCTTGACCAGCACATGGTTTAACTTCACAAAGCATTTTAATGGGAGAATTGCCACCAAAATACAGTTAAAAGTCGGAAAATGAAAACACCATTCAAAAGTCCATTCACTTCTGTAATTCAGCTTACAATGTGGAACTAATACAGGACCAAAAGTGAAATATATCAAGCCTTTTTTTTCGTTTTAATGCTGATATTGACAACAGCTCACACTTGTAAACTAACCAAATATTGCGAATTGGATATTTTGAAATTGGATCGTAAGCCAACACTATAAAAAAAAAACTTGACATATGTCGCTTTGTTGCATGTGAATGAGTCTTTCCGTTATAAGTTGACTTTCAGAGCATCCAAACAGAATAGAGAAGGGAAGAATGTGTTTACCCGTGATACTTTAACTTTAACACAGGACTTTAACACACGTTTTGACAATTAGTTAAACACATTCCTCTTGCGTTGTACAAATTATCTACAGCTATTATCAAAACGTTTCATACTGTACATTCAAAATAACATTCTCCATTCTCAATCCTCTTCTTTCACGTGGGGTCAGTTAAAACTAAACTACATGCTATTCAATGTGCTCCGATGTAAGTATATGTACAGTGTATATGAAAGTGTATTCTACAAGTATAATCACCAAAGGGAAGTGTTAATGTCTTGTACATGTGTCTTGGATGTACTTAAGTATCGTTGTTTTTCGTGAGCTCTTTTTTGTATCGCGAGCTTGGAAAGGAGACACTAAATATATGTCTTAATTGTGAAAATATCAGCGCAGTGCCTTATATACAGCGAGTACCTGCCTCTTGTGTTTGCTAACAATGTATTTAATATCTGATGCCTTACATTCAGTAAAACATGATGCAAAATGTTTTATCAATAAAGATTTATTCATGAAAAATTAGACATTTTTTTACCTAAATGTGCCCTTGAATAACTATGGGAGAACAATAGAAAATCCATCTTAAATTTGGAAATATTAAGGATTGTAGGAAATGTGTTATCCATAATCAAATTGATTTGTG